GTTCACAGCACTCACAGCACCTGAGAGAATTTAACTCTTCCTGTCGAGGTTTACTCCAGGATCTTAAAAGGCTGCTTCACCTTATAGAGTGATCTATTTGGTATTTCAAAGGAATATAATCCTTTAAAAGGCAAACAGTGAGCACACACACTTAAAAATGTCCTTTCCAACCTGATGCGAGAATATTACAGATTTGAAATATTTTCCTTTTTGACTTAAGTGGAGAGAGGAACAGGGAAGGACAGCCCCCGTCTGGCTCCCAAAGCATGGCTACATCCAAGACTGGAAGGTGTTTCTGATGGGGAACTGGATTTGCTCAGGCGCTACAGCGTCCTCATCACCTTTTCCAACCACTCCCATCTTTCTTCAAAGAAGCCACAAGAGAGAGCAGTGTCATCCTGAGTTCAAAAGAAATCACTGTCAAATGCTGCCATGGCAATAACTTCAATGGCAAAGCAAAGGCACATGTTGAAACAAAAAAGGACTTAAAAATAGACCTAGGCAATGCCAAACAAATGTTTTTGTTTTGAAACTAAAAAAATCGGCTCTGGAGCCTGACTGCCTGGGTTCAAATCCTGGGCATGTCACTTATCATCGATGTGACTTTGAGCAAGTTACTCAAGTGCTCTGTGCCTCCCTTTCCTTAACTGGAAAAATGAGAACATTAATAGTTCCTTTCTCCCAGCTTCTTATGAAAATTCAGCACCATGTATTTACTAAATAAATCAACCAATGGGATGTATGTGATATAAAGCTGTGTTGAGAGACAACCTAAAGTAATCTTTTCTATTAGCTGTCAACTAACATTAAAATCAATACCTCAACAGGGATGGAATTAATCTTCCTGGTTCACGTCTGGCTAGAGTCACAGAAGCATTATCGGGGAGACAGAGTGCATCCCCTTTCCTCTGCACCTTTCTCTGAGTTCCCTTTATCCAGTATAATCAGACCCCCCCAGTTCACTGCCAAAGAGATGGGAGAGGCCAGTGATACGGACGGCTAGCCATGTGCACATGTTTTATTTATCACTTTTCTAGTGTAAATATCACAACACATTTTAATACAGTTGAAAAATAATTTTTTTCCTTGACTCCTAATACTTCAGGCCTGAGGGTTTGGCTGAGGGAAGTCAGTCGTGTTGACTATCGTGCAGTCAGCATTCCAGTCTGAATTTCCTTATAGGCTCAATACCTCTGCGTCTGCTTCCTCCCCTCTGCAGAGGGATGTTTTAATGCAGAAGAAATTTTTAAAAGCCTGCTCATTGATTACTTTAAACATTTATGGAAACATGATTTTTAATGATTTGGTAAATTTTTTTCTCAAATTGAAAATGCACCAACAATAACAACACTAATAATAATCAGCTCTATTATCAACTCAGACTTCAGGCTCTGTCAACACAAGGCACTGAGAGAAATTAGATCAAAAGAAAGAATAAAGAGATAAGACCAGGCAGCCTAGATAGTGAAAGTACCTAGTCTAGAAGTCAGGCAATTTGAATTCTGGTACAGGATCTGTTACCAGGTAAATCCATCCCACCAAACTGGGACTCAGATTCTTTGCTGTAAAACAAGGTTATCTAAGGCCCCACATCAAGCTGGAAAACGTCATAACTCTTCAACCTACAATTTCTCTGGTGCCCCAACTTCTCCAAAGCACCAAGAGGCATAGGGTGGGGGGTAGTGGAGTGGGGGTGGGGGTAAAAAGAAAGTGAAAATTATACCAGTTTCTTTAAAATTTCTTAGGATCACTGAGACTGCCCTATATTTTTATAAACCTGACTGAGCAGAGACGTGTGGAAAGTGACCGAGCTGGGTGAGGAGCTTGGCTGGCTCATCTCTAAAATGCTTCTCATCCGGCACTAGAATTCGGACTTATCGCTGGGCAAGATCTCATGGTTCAACAATGCAAGTGACGGCAGCTGCAACCTTATCTCCAGGAGGCCTGAAGTATACCACTGTCTCAATCTGAGGTCCTAAAACACTATAACCTACCCCAGTACGGTCTCTAACTATCCAACACGGCCCTACTAATGACTGGCACTCAAGCAGGCCCCAATGAAGACGACTTCCTATTCTAAGCGAGCAGACCATACATTTGAGAAACTTTTCACAATTCCTTCCTCTTATCTCGTCTTTTTTTTTTTGATGATGATTTTTTTTAATTAATTTCAGGTGTACAAAACAATGCACTAGTTATACTTTTCACCCTTTACAAAGTGACAACCTCTCCTCCCCCAATCCGCCGCCCCCCCATATCATACATATCTATTACAATTACCTTGACTCCACTCCCCACACTGTACTCCACATCCCGTGACTATATATATATATATATATATATATATATANAAACATATATAAATGAAATCCTTTATATCTCTGTTGACCAAAATGCACAGATAACCAAAATGCAATTGTAATAACCTCCACTCATATTGATACTCTTCCCGTAAGTCAGTGGTATGAGCTGAAACAAAAGTCTCCCCCAGGCCTGGGTAGAGTGGTTTCCTTCACTGAGATAGGATGTATCTTACACTTGAGACAATTAACCAACTCTAAAGTTGCCCAGTGGTGCTGAAAGAAGTTAAGGATAGAAAAAGGAGATTTTTCAGATCCCCTCATGACCATAAAATACTCTCAAAAAGCCATTCAATGCATGTGCACAACCTTACCAGTTGGAATACGAATGTTTTGATTGGCACTGTCATTATCAAGAAGGCAAAGGTGACTAATTCCCTGGCGAAACACTGATGTTTCCTGCGAACTCTCACCTCAAGATTCAAAGGGACCAGCAGGCCCTGCAACCCAAATGCCAGCACACACTCAATAGAGGCCAGGGAATGGGGAACAACGAACGTTCTTGAGTCTTATATTGAAGAAAGAAAAAAACCCCAAAGAAACGGAAAAAAGGAGATGAATAAAAAAAGTTTCTACACCCCCCCTGGAGGGAGCCATTTTCTTCATGAAGGTGCAGATAGTTCAAAGGTTCTGCCACCCCAATGGGAAAAATTCCAACTGGGAAGCCAATGAAATTTCTCGGCGGTTGTGCTCCTAACAGAGAGTGCCTCAGACTGCTGACGCCTTGGTAAATGGTGCCAAAATCCGTACACTGACCAAAAGGAACAATCCATTTTAAGGCCTTCTGTGGTAACNATTTACAACATTATTAATTATATTCCCCAAACTGTCTTTCATATCCCTGTAGCAATACTGTAGTTACCAATTTATGTTGTCTCGTCCCTTCCCCTTCTCCCTCATCCCCACCCCCATCCCATCTAGCAACCATCAGTTTTTCCTCTATGTCTCTGGGACTATTTCTCGTCTTTATTTACTTACCCTCCCTATTGCATCTGCAGCAAAGTCTCTCAGCCCCAAATGCTCAGCTCCCCAACCACCTATTTTGGGATCTGTAATGTTGACAACTTCCACTCACTCCAGAAAGTTGGACTGAAATTTCTATGAAAATTTCTACATACCTGTGCTATAGCATTTTATCATAATTGACAGTTTTTCGAGGTGATGTTGAAAAAAAAGGAACTAAAGTGGGACCCTCCACTCAAGGTCACCTCTCAAGAACATCCTCTTCTCGGGGACACCCTTCCCTCAGGGACAACCCCCTCAGAGATACAGGAACTCTAAATGTAGGCGTACCAGCCAACCAATTCTGATTCAAGCCCCTACTTTGCATCTGGCATTCTGCTGGGTACTTTAATCTAGTTTAACTCTAAGTCTCACAGTCACGCAGCATACTGAGTATCATTAACCCCAATTTTGCAAACACAGAATTCCAGTTTCAGAGAGAGTAAGTGGCTTGCCCAAGTCATTCAGACCAAGGTCTTCTGCTTTGGAGACTTGTGTTCATTATCTCACTGTGACCCAAGAAAAGAACCAATATCTATGGTCCATTTCACATGGAAATGCACAGCTACAGTGTTATGATGTGACAGTCTCGAATGCGCTCATCCATTGAATTATAAACCTATAAACTGGTTCTAGAGAATGCTTAATATAGGACAGACTGCTCATAAAAAGAGGTTCATTGGAAACCTGTACTATGAATACTGACTTAAATAAAAAAAAAAAGCACTGACATTTTTTCATACAGCTTTAAAATAGTTTATCCCCATTTAACCTCCCCACCACCTCCGCCAACACACACTGACACGCTTTAATTAGGGAAAACTGTATCAAAACTAAATTCATAAAATCCTTAAGAAGTACAGCATTCTCTGCCCATGGATCGAGGACATGCTACAGGACAGACCCGGGGGTGGTGAGCAGGAGGGAATGAATGCTGGATAATCGATAAACAGACAGGGAGTCACTAAATGGCAGGTGTGGCACATATAACCTGTATACTTCGTCATATTTTCTCCCAGGGAGACTTAAATCCTCAAGTAGAGAGAGAGAGTAAGTATTTATAGCCTTGACCAAGGTATCAGCTCTATAATCAAGCACCCAGATCATCAGAGCCTTCCCCCGCCATCCCAGGAACAGGAAGGCTGCCTAACAGAACAGGGCCTCACAAAGCAAAGGACTAGAAGAGGCTCTGACGACCATCTAATCCAACACCCTCAATTTACAATGAAGAAATCTCTGACCTGATCAAACAACCCGCTCCAAGTCATCAACCAATGTCCGTGCCCGAGCGAAAGCCCAGATCTCTCAGTGTTCCTTTCACAGCACCAGCTGCTACCAAAGCTGCATCATCAGAGCTAATACCTCCTCCTCACCTACAAATATTAGTTCAGGATCCAAGTTACCCATGGTAATCCAACAAATACCACCAAATAGAGTGACCACGGCTTGCCCAATTTGGCAAACCACTAAAGTGTGGTCTGCCCGCCCCTAAAACCCAAATTACGTTTCACTCACATCATTCACTTATATCCATAGAAACTGGCCAAATGCGTTTCAAATATATCCCACATTCAGATTTGCCAAAGAGAAAATGCTACAAAAGCACCAGCACGAAATTCATGAGAATAAGACCAGTACCTTCCCCAGAAAGCAATTTCTCGGGGGCCTTTCTCGTAGAGGGGCCCTCCAGCGTCACTGAGCCCGTTGCTGATCCCACTACGGTAGCCCATCACTACTCCGCCATCTGCCGAGACGCTCAGGACGTCTTGCTGTCCTCCCACTGATGTCCTCTCCAGGAACTGGCTGCCTTCTTTAATGCGCTGCTGTATCATTGGTGTGAGGGGCATTTCAAAGCTGAAATAGCTATCAGGCTCTGAGTATAGCGTCTCCAAGGACTCGGCACTGTAGTATAAGGAAGTGTTGTCCAAAATGGTTTCAAACTGGGAGCTGTACATATCAGTGGAGTCCTCTGTATACCCAGGCCCAAGGATTTCATCCTCTCCGCCCCTAAAGTGCTCCTCTTGTTCAAGAATCCTAGAAAGGAAATAAGAGGGAAGAATTTCAATACTAGGTTAATTTTTCTTTTTTATCCTTCAGCCGTAGAAAAAGATAGCATTCTGTAGAGCTAATACTTGTATTCACTGGGCTTATGTCTTAATATATTTGGGAAGGAAGATATCATGGAAACATATTCGGGTTGAAAAAGCTCTTAGCATACACATGCTAAACTACCCTCTAAATAATATAATGTCAAACTAGCTTTCTAGTATGTGAATACATCTAGTCCAATGAATATTTGAATAAAATATTACATTCCCACGTTAGCCAACTAAACGCCACAAATTCAAATTATTAACAGCTACCGTCATGCTTAATTTTAACAAAAGCAGATAAATATATTGTGTAAACTTAATGGAGTAAAAATATCCTAAGCTTTCATCAGTCTATTAATACTTTCTGATTTAAGACCAAATGCCCTCAAGCCAGGACCGCATTAGAATCCAAGGGTCGCCCCCTGCTGACATCAAGCAGCACTGCAGAGAGATTTCAGGTCCAAAATTAGTGAATGAATGCCCTTTAAAAAAAAGTCAAGAACCATGTTTATCACAAGGCTCACCAAAATAGTAAAAACCTAGAAACAACTTGTAAGTTAATATACAGGGGTGGGCCACGAATAAATTAATATGTAGCACGTACGTTCTTAAATTTTAAAAATGAACATTAGGATGACTAAGTAAAATTTCAAACACTCAGAAAGTATAAGAAGTCAAGTTAGAAAAACCTGGAGCTGAATTCTGGATGTGCCAATTGCTACCTATATCACTTAAGCAACTTAACCTCTCTGAGCCTCCGATTCCTATAAATAGAAATAGGAATACAAAGGCCTCAGACGTAATCTGCGTTCCTCCTAGGTATTGCCAGGATCCACATTCAACAATCCAGTTGCCTTTGTTGTTTTTAAATGATGGAAGACCTAACATGTACCAAATACGGTTCTGGGCTTATGCCTCTTAATGGCTTCCACTGCACTTGGAATGAAACGAGAAGTCCCCGTGATGAAGCTCCTCGCTACCCCTCGCTCCACACTCATTTCCCACCTCTCTCCCCCAGCGCCTCACGCTCCAGCCACATGGTGAAGTTTCAAATCTTCAAACCCGTCATAAGGCCTTTGCTTCCTTCAACTCCAGGGGGCACAAGCAGGAGGCAGCCCAGCCGCCCTCCTTCGCACATGCTGTTCCCTCTTCCTGGAATGTCCTTCCTCCCCGTTCTCGCTCTCTGCCTGGCAAGCTCGTAGGCACTCAAGTCTCAGCTCAGTCACCGTTGCCACAGGAAGGCCTTGCCCAAGCCGTCCAATGAATTCGCCTCTCTCCTGCATGTAAATGATTCTTTCTAGGATGTCTCGTCTTTTCCTAGAACAACTTTGTGATCCTGTATATATTAATGTGTTTCTGTGGTCAGTGTGTATCTTCAGCAGTAAACTACGTGGGGGCAGTGACCACGGGCCACATCTCTTTTGAACATTGCTTTGTGCCCAGCATCTAGACAACCAAGAGATATTTGTGGAAGAAGAGGAAGGGAAGGGGGGAGGAGGGGAAGAAAGGAAGAAGGAATGAATAATCTACACAACAGCAAAAGCGCATATTCCACTGGGAATATAATTACGGAGCCACGTGCCACACATCAAGGCTGCTTTTGAGGGAAGTCTGAAAATGTTGTGTTGGGGGGCGGGCAGGAAGGGGGGATGGAGAGGAGTCCTGACAGCCTTCCTAGAGGAGCATCAGTCTCCCCGGACTTGTTAATTAACTGTAGAGGAAAAGGCATTTGCTTGTACTAACCGAACGAACAAAATAAGCCCTTCAGCTTTGACGCAGATGTTCTCCCACATAAGCGATGCCATGTTGGTGCCATGAGGCCTGATGGAAGAAAAGGTGGTACAAATTTGAAACGACAGTACCTACAAATGAGCTTGCCAAAAGGAGCGCTGTATAGTCAGACCACGAACGAAGGGCGTGAAGAAAGATGGCTCATGTCTTCCATTTATCCAGGCTCTAAGCTGGTATGGGTGTCAGAAACGAATGGAAAGACAAGAAAATACCATATGATACCGAGTTTCCTTATCGGGGCCATAATGAAAACATACGTTACTTGTGAGAAGGGGTTCTCACGTAAATGCTATGGAACCACCGAATCACAGAAGAGTCTACTTCTGACCTCCTCATCTCCTTTCTCAACCTAAAAAACTGAGTCAGCCCAAACCCAGAACCTGTGTGTTTATATGTGTATGCAGGCACTGGTGTTGCACCCAGAAAAAAACGTCTAAGTTAGTAGGTAATGACTAGAGGATGTGTGAAACGAGTCCAAATCTTTCATATTATTAAAGATAATTGTGGGATGTTTCAGTTACCTCGATGTTGGAAAACTTGAAACCTGTCAAATATAACAAAATGTCAGCAATGGATTCACACAGGTTAGTGTTGACACTCTCCATCACTCCACTTCCCCGGTCTATGCCTAATGGACAACCTTATCACAAGATCACTTTAATATCTTAGAAACACAGAAGGAATCTAGCTTACAGGAACTTCCTTTCCATTCTATGATAACAAGGACCCTGGATATTGTGAGTTGAGTTCTCACAGCCAAGCACAGGATAATGGTTTCTCATAATATGAACCAGGCGTCACAGACAGCAGGCCTACCACGGTTGCTCACCTCTCCTTGTCTCTCTCCAGTTCAAGTTTCTTCTCAAGATGGTCTCTGCTTTCCTTTAGGAAGACTTCATCCTCCGCACTCTCCACAAGAGGCACAGGGGGAAATGGTCCCGAGCCAGTGGCAGGCCCCTGTGAAGGAGATCTCCAGGTTTCGCCCCCAACACTCTCAGTGAAACCAACTGAGTTATACAAACCCGCAGACGAGATGAGATGGCTTGGCACTTTGGAGAACCCTTTGCTTTCAGGAGCGGCAGTCCTTTCCAAGGATGCCTCAAAATCCCCAGGATGCCGTGTCTCTCTTTTCTCTTCTCCTGTCCACAGTATTTCCACCCCTTGAAATTCCACATGTTTGACCCGGCCTGGGCGTCCCGTGGTGCTGCCTCTATCACATCCCACTGGGCGCTCGCCCCCAACATCAGACCTCCACGCTCTCACAAAACCAACACTGCCCGCAGAGGGGTGGGGCGCTGCTCGGCTCCCCACGTGGAATACTGGACAAGCGGGCTCCTGCACGTGGGGAGCCGCTTTTCTCCCACCATTAGTTCCTTGGGAAAGCTCTGCCTGAGTTTCTCCAGTTAATCCTACAGAAAGATCCTTCTGGATGCTCAAAGAAAATCTGTCCTCGGTCGTAACTTCAGCTGAAAGAGGTATATGTTCTTGGCCAGCAGGAAACAGTTTGTTAGCTCTCTGTGTCTTCTGACTGGCAGTGTCCAGCTCCTTGTCCACTTGCTGAACTGGAAAACTAGAAACAGCATCTTTGTCTAGTACCTGTGTTGTCTGTAACGTTCCTGAAGCTATTCTGGCTTCTGTAGCTTTCAGAGCTGAAATCAGAGAGTCAATAGGTTGTAAACTTTGTTCCTTGAGGTGACTTTGAAAAGGGGCCTCCCCAACATCTTTTGGTCCATTGGTAGCACTGTCGAGCCCAGAGAGGTGGCCAGCAACAAGCTGGACGCCCTGCTGCCCTGGTGGGCGGCATGGCAGAGACTCTGCATCAAACTCGAGGGAAGTTGTTAGGCCTTCTCCACTTTCCTCCATGGTCCCATATTCTGGAAATTCATTTGTGACATTTGGTGGGAGTAAAGTGCTTCCTCCATGATCACCTAGGAATAGAACAGAATGGACACGTGACTTGTTTTGAACGACAGGTTCCACCGTGTGTTAAGAACTATCCACACATATTAGGCATTTGGTAATCCTTATTTGATTCTTCCACTGTCTTGCTCCTCCCGCCGCTCCACATAACCTTGCCAGCGGTCCCTTCTACTTAGCTTACATGAATGGAACCAGAAGGATTTTGGCAGAGAAGGAGGCAATCTAATGATGCATGACATAGTTAACCCTGCTTCTGAAAAAGTCCCACACATGCAACTCGGTTGCTGCATATGCAGAAACAGATTAAAATAAGGATACACATCACTTTCCAAATACCACTCATGCAAAAGCAACTAAAATATTTATACGCGTTTTGGGCAAAACAACAATAGCCTTATGATCCAGCCAACAATGTCTGCACAGTAAAATCTCTGAGATGGGGCCTCAGTAAAAAAAAAAATGATCTATTTAAAGTCAGTAAATATTTTTTCAGTTAGAAGGCTCCCCTTCACTGTTTGATTTCGGGGGGTGGCAATGGGGAGTGGGAGGGAATGCTTCTAAAACATCCCTGGAGAGTAAGAGTGAATTCGAAATGGAATAGGAAACTTAAGGTGTTGAGAAAATTTTCCTGGATCCCAGCTGCATAAAATTTACATGGTACCTTATGCAGAATGCCAATATATGAAGCAATGAAAAAAATAATAATTAGTATATATTTACTATTTTAGATCGAATTTACATTTTCTTACAAAAATGGCAGTCAGAATAGTGGAAATGTTCTGATGAACAAAAATTTAAATTGGGGGTTTATGCATAACAATTACAGTCCTATGTGCCCAGTATTTTTTTTTTAACTTGGTTTTGGTTACTTTGTATTAAGAAAATCCTCATGTACACTAGAAAGGCAGTGTACTCACTTTGACAAGTTCATAAAAGAGGACATTGGTGGTTGTTGTTTTTAAAGCACTGAGAGCTACACCCTTCCTGTTGATTGACATATTTGACAAATGTCTGAAGGAATATATACACTGGAACAACCTGGAAGACTTGATTCCAAGGCATGCACAAAATGAGGTAACTTGGCACCATGAATAAACATACGGTATCCCACAGCATGCAAAATTTGATAAATAGTAATACATTAGAGAGCATGCACTGTTTCATATTGTATTTTTAAAATAATTTGAAATATATTTTTAAAATTAAATTTGAATCAGATATTGGTAGAATCCAAGAAACACTTCTCTGCAATGGCAGTATTTAAAATACCATCGCAAGACAGAACTAAGAGGATATGGCTTGCTGAAATCTGAAGAGGAAGCAACTTTTCAAACCCTGATTTTGAAAAGGAAGACAGTTAAAAACTAAATAAAGAACGCTCTATCTAGGATAACATGCTGACATTTTTAAAGCCATAGGACTTTGAATTTTTCCCCATTTAAGATTCAGTGGTTTGTTTTTTTTTTTTTTTTGGCCAGCCGAGTGGCTCAGTTGGTTAAGAGTTGGCTTAAGAATGCTAGCTTTGAGCAACAGGTTTGCTGGTTCAAATCCCACATGGGTCAGTGACACTGCGCCCAAACTGAGCTGTCGCTGAGCTGCCAATAGGTGGCAGGATGGCTCAGCTTGTGTAACAACAAGATTGCCTGTTCGATGGTGGGCTACACCCACCCGCAACTAAGACTGAACTCGGCCGGCACCTTGAGCTGAGCTGCCGCCCAGATGGCTCAGTGGACAGAGTGTGTGCATTTAACAACAAGGCTGCTGGTTCGACTCCCGCATGGGATGGTGGCTACGCCCACCCGCAACTAAGACTGAACACAGCACCTTGAGCTTAGAGGCCACGAGCTGCCGACGGGAAGCCAGATGGCAACTGGCGCCCTTCACAACGAAGATTAAAGAATAACTTGGCTGGTTCCCTTCCCCAATGCCCCAACACTGTTCCCCTCCTCGAATTCCCCAATAAAATCTTAAAAAAAAAAAAGATTCAGTGGTTTTTAATACATTCACAAAATTGTGCAGCCAACACCACTAATTCCAGAACATTTTCTTCACTCCCCCCAAAGCCCCATATCTATGAGCTGTGACTCCCCACTGCCCTGTCCCCTCAGACCCTGGTAACTACCAATCTACCTTCTGTCCCTACAGATTTGCATATTTGGAATATTTCATATAAACAGAATCACACAATGTGGCACTTTATGTCTCTCTTTTTTCACTTAGCACAATGTTTTCAAGTTTTATCCATGTTGTAGCATGTGTCAGAACTTTATTCCTTTTTATTGCCAAATAATATTCCATCGTATGAATATACCAGTTTCTTCAGCTATTCATCAGCTGATGGATATTTGTGTTGTTTCCACATTTTGGCTATTGTGATTTTTATGTCTACACTTATTTTCAATTCTCTTGGGTATATACCTAGGAGTAAAATTTCTGGGTCATGTAACTCTATGTCGAATGTTTTGAGAATGCCAGTTTCCCAAAGCAACTACACCATTTTACATTCCTACCAGCAATATTGTCTATCTTTTTTATTATAGCCATCCTAGTGGGTGTGGAATGGTATCTTACTGTGGTTTTGATTTGCATTTCCCTAGTGACTGAATTTATTCTCCTACGTATTTTATTCTTTTTAATACTATTACAAGTAAAATTGTTTCTTTTTCATTTCATTTTCAGCTTATTCACTGCTAGCATATAGAAATACAATTGGTTACTGTATATTGAACTTACATCCTGCAATCTTGCCCAACTTATTAGTTCTAATGGCTGGTTTGTAGATGCCTTAGGATTTCCTCCTACATACAAGAGCATGTCATCTGTGAATAGAGATAGTTTTTTTTTTTCTTTCTTATCTGGGTGTCTTTTATTTCGTTTTCGTGCCTAACTGTCCTGGTTAGAACCTCCAGTACAAAGTTGAATAGAAGTGCTAAGGGCAGACATCCTTCTCTTGTTCCTGATCTTAGGGGAAGGCTTTCAGTTTCAGTCTTTCATCACTAAGTATGATGTTAGCTGTAGATTTTTCATATACATCCTATATTACGATTGAGGGAGACCCCTTCCACTCCTAGTTTATCAAGTGTTTTTATCATGAGAGGGGGTCAAATTTTATCAAATACCTTTTCTCTGTCAATTGAGATGCTCATGTGGGTTTTGTCTTTTATTCTGGTAACATGGTGCATTTCATTAAATGATTTTTTTATATACTGAACCAATCTTGCATTCTGGAATAAATCCCACTTGGTCATGGTGCATAATCCTTTTTATAAAGTTGCTAGATCAGGTTTCTAGTATTTTTGCATCTATATTCATAAGCAGTATTGGTCTGTACTTGCATCATCTTTGTTTGGTTTTGGATTTAGGGTAATGCTGACCACAAAATGAATTGGGGAGTATTCTATATGGCATTTGTTTATACCTTTTTACACTTTTTAAGGCTGTTAACAGTTTTCTCTCCCTTAGTTACTCAGGGGAGTTTAGTTTCTTCAGCACTTTAAAGCTATAAATTTATTGATAATATGCAATGAAAGGAAGAAAAAAATGAACAATTCAAAATCATGTTTTTCTTTATTAACACAGTAAAATAGCATACAGTGATTAGAGAAGTATTTAGTCCACATTGGGAAATATTTCCTTTAGAGTTCATAATGCTTGTCATTATTTTTCTAAGCTAGAGTATAGTTTTACAAAAACGTGAGGATCACAGAATATAAAATTTCAAAGGTCAAATGAATCTTGGCATTAATTCAGCGACCTAACATAATTAGGTGAGAAAACAGGCTCAAAGGAATGATGCACTTACCAACATGACACAACAAATAAAAATCAGAGCTTGTCTCTTCTACCTCTGCTACGCTTTGCATCGCTCCCCTCCCCTCCATCTTTATCGGCAGTGAGGTACCCTATGATGTGTCTTCAATCTTTTCCCTGAAACTTAAAAAATCTTCTGAAATGGTTCTCTAATGTCCAGCCTCATTTTCCCACTTCATCTTATATACAATAATCTTCCTAAAACAAAAGTTTAGGTTGCTTCCAATAGTTCCCCACTGCCTACAGAATCACGTTGAAAGTCCAACTCCTGATCTAAAAGTTAGGATCCATGATTCAGTCCCAATCTATCTTTCCCAATTTACTCTCTCTTTCTTTTGTTCAACTTCTCTTTTCAAATGTTATACCATTGCTTCTCTAACAGAAGGGGGGGGGCATATGAATAGCTTGAAAAAGTTCTCTCTAATATATACTAGAAATAAAGTTAACTATAGATGTACTCTGAGCTTTATACTACTTTGCCTTTCCTCAAACTCTTTTTTCCACATGACATTCCTTTTCTTCTCATCTCTACATGATCAGATTAGTTTCATCTTTCAAGACCTAGTTGAAATCCCCTCTCCTTAATTAAACCTTCCTTTAATCACCAGCCTTGCCAGAAGTCACCTCTCCTTACAAACGTCAAGAGACTTTTAGCCGTATCTTCCATATAGCACATACACATTAAATAAATACTAAACATGATGTCAGCTTGTATTTTAAAGCTTCCAATGGCTATAGTTTTTAACCTATCATGAAATGTTTTAACAAAACTGTCCATAGTGACCAATGAAGCCATGTGTAAATTCAACACCAAAATATACAATAGTGAAATCCACTCACCAAAAGGAAGTAAAATTCAGCTTTATCATTTAGGAGCCTTCCCACTTTGTTCTAACAGTTTAAATTGTGATCTATAAAACAACCAGTAAAATAAACACTGGCACACTGGTCCAAAGAGAAGTGACCATGAAGAAATCAAGAAAAGGGGCCTCCACAAAATTAAATAATTTCTCCACCCCATTTTTAATATTCTTCATTAAAATGTACCTCATGAAAGAGACAGCAAATGCATCAATTGTGGGCAAATGCTTGTGATGCCTTCTTATAACAACTTGGCAACTGGTCTAAGTAAGTAGATAAAAGAGAGAAGGGGAGAAGCAAAGCCCCATGTGACAGCCTACGGACTATTCTATTCAGT